TGCAGCTCTGTATTAACATATCATTAAATATCCAATGTTTTTAATGCAAGCAATTTTGCAATCTCCGTGTGTAGCAGAGCTTCAGACTTGTAGACGGGGAAGCAACACAAGGAGTCAGTTGTGCTGCAGTGTTCATTAACAAGAGGCATGCTGGTAAGAGAAAAGAACAGATTGCCACAGAATGAGCTCATCATTCTGCTGCTTCTCCTTTCACTGTTCATTCACAAGCTGTGGGAGGGCCAAGACCTGTAAGTGTTACTTGACTGCAGCAGGAAAAAAAATCAGGTTTCCTGCCATGCCAGACAGGGTTGTGCTGTGTGGCAGAACTGTATAAATCTCAGAACTGGGGAGACAGAAATACAAATCGTTTTGCAGTTAAAATTGCTTCTAAATATGATTTTTTTTTATTTGTGTATTTATCTATTTGCCTTAAAGTCAGATTTAAAAGGGTATAAGTTCAGAGGTAGAAGAAATCTAGATTTGCATCCATTTGATTGATAGTTTGAATGCAAACTATTTTTGCGGGTTTAAACCAAAGATGAAAATGATCAAATTGAAATTCCAATCGTTTTTTAAGTCGATCAGTTTATGGAGCAATTGATTGATTCTGGAACAACTAGATTAGGTGTTTGTTTATTGTTTTTTAAATATTTAGGATTGAAAGTAAGATGATTGATCTGGCTGAATTTCCCGTTTGTGTTGAATTGATTGTTTCATTAATCCAAATGAGTAAAGCAGTTGGATCGAACGGTTGATGAAACATCAATGTGTTCATGGCCAGCATAATGCTGTTCTTTTGTAAAATCCATCCGTGCAGTGTGTAAGCATATACCACTTACCTGTCAGGCTGATTTAGATGTACTGACTTTCCCGCAGATGTCTTTTTGTCAATTAAAGCAAAAAAAAAAGGTTCCATTGGTATCTATTTGCCATCCTATTTCTAAGGGCCTGATCACCATAAACAGCTTACAGCGTATCAAAAATAGTGAAATATGCAGCAGCAATCTTGCACTGCTGTACAGTAGTCAACTGGAGTCAGAGTTTGAAGAAATAAATACAAAATATAGCAAGAAAAAGGTACAAAAGACACACAAAAAGGTAAAATGAAAAGTGATTTGATCACATCTAAGGAAATTCTGTAATAATCTGTTTGGAAAGTTTAAAAAAAGGGACATTGTTCTAAATCATGATGTAAGGGGTGTCTGATACATATATGAAAGCAGTGGCGGAACAATCGCCATAGCGACCCAGGTGGCCGCTATAGGGCCCGTGGGAAAAGGGGGGCCCAGCCAGGACGAGGAACAGTGATCTGTGCAGCGTTCCTCCTCACAGCCACTGCTGCGTCAGTAACAGCCAGCAGCTGCTGCTGCGGAGGAGGAGGCTGGGCCCGGCGTCGGCAGTGAGGGAGGCGGGGCCCAGTGTCAGCAATGGAGGGGACAGGGCCCAGAGACGGAGGAGGAGGCGCAGCCCGCCAGCGACCATGAAGGAGGAGGAGGCAGACAGTGGATCGGTGCTGACAGGTAAGAGGTGTGCAGGGGTGTGACCAGCAAACATGAGACCCTGCAGAGCCCACCATAGAGATTCTATGGTGGGCTCTGCAGGGTCACCCTCTGGTGCGCTGTGTGGGATATCAGGTGGGCTCTGCAAGGGGCATCACTAGAAATCAGAGGACGCCATACAAAATTTTGCTATGGGGCCCTGTGATTTCTAGTTTAACCCTGTATGAAAGTGCTACCAACTGAAGCTGGAAGCTGGTTATACATGGCTAGATTTCTTTAAATTTTATTAAAGTGGAATTAAAACTGCAGGAAAACTTTGGGTCCCCCAGGAGAACTTGATATAACATGCAAGCATGCTCAGCATATTTACACATTATGGCAGACTTAACTTTGAAAGTGACCCCCCGCCAACGATGTGATGTCCACACTCCTTGTTGCTCTGTTGTTGGTGCTTCCATCTTCTCCCGGTCTTCTTCTGGATTTAGAATCTTTGGTAGTCTTCATTGGCCAGGATGACGTAACGGCAGCACATGTGCACAGGACTTGCTTTGTCCTGACACAAACTCATGCCAAAAATGTACACTGAGCTGTGACTGCATAAGCACCTAGGCAAGGAACAATCTCTGCAGGGACTCTGAGGGCTGCACAATAAGTGCCAAATGGTGGTGGGTTGGACACCAAGTCAACCTTTTTATTGCGGAGTCCCCGCTAGGGAGATAAAACCCTGCTATTTCTCCTGGTAACCACTGTGACGGCAAATCAATGATTTTGAGTTGTCACCAAAACAGTATTTGAGGAAAAATTTTCAAACAGGTAAGTGGCTGTAAGAGGATTTTCCTCACTGTGGGTTGTGATTAAAGGAAAGTGAAGGAAAATTCACCCAATGGAACAAACATGGCACAAGAAAAATTCTGACATTTTCTTTTGGTTTTACTCTTCCCTGTTGCATGAGGAAAAATGTTGGCTTTACATAAACTTTCAGGATACAAAGAACCTTAATACAAAAAAGTTGCAGTTGGATTGCTAAAACGGGCTATACCAGAAGAGGAGGCATATTACCTTTTAGATTTTTATTTGGAGCAGGCCTTTTGGACTGATACTGTGAACAATTTAAAAGCGAGTCTGCCCCCTTACAAAGTCTGGGGACACATAGAGGGATTTACTAAGCCTGTGGCAGACAGACTCATGCCGACCAATCAGCTTCCAGCTTTCATTTTCAAAGCCTAATGAAACCAGTTGAAGATAGCAGGTGATTGGTTACTGCGCACAGCTACTCCAGATTCTGTCTGCTCCAGTTGTAGTAAATTCTGTTTTTTTAATTCCAATTCTGATTTTTAGTAAATTCTGATTATCCTCTCATTAAACATACAATGCAGAAACCAGGGTTCTTGATATTTAACCCTTTGTTAGGACAGACAGAGTTCAAATCTAGTTTACAACTGATAATGAGATCTGCCAGCAAAGTACAGACAGTTAATTACAGTAAACACAACTCCCCAGCCCCCACTTTGAAATTACGGACAGTGGAAAAACTTCAGTTCTGTAGTTTTCAGAAAAGAAAAAGTAAAATGGTAAACAGCAATTTTTAAATATTGTTTTTAACTTATGTTATGTGTATGAGAACATGTAACCGATATAAAAATAGGTGTTATCCCAATTCGGCTGCATAAGTGGAAACACGCTTTAAAATTGTGCCTGATATTTTGCTTTAAAGACAGGCTGGCATGTTACCCATCTCCAGGGCTGCCGCATCAGCGGATTTCTACTTCCCCATCCTGCGTAAACGATCAGACCATTCTGCAAACATCACTTTACATTTCTAGCAGCTCCTCTCTTTTGACTATGACATTTTTGAAGCGCTCAACTGCGGGCATGCGGGAGCCTCAGGACATCTGAGAGCCTATTAACATCGCCCTTGATAACAAGCAGTGTGTGTGGCGCAGATCCTTGAGTCAGAAGGTTCCATCACCCTTACACGGCTCACATCAGCTAAATAATGCACAGCGCCTAGAGAAACACAGCCATCTATCTAGGTTAATTACATGCGCAGCACAAACAAGGGCTGGTAACGGAATAATGACAGAGAGATGACCCTGCATTTTGGGAATTGTCCTCGGTATTTCTGGCCTGAAGAATGGGAACGTGACATAACGCTTAGCAGGGAACTGAGTGGTATCTTTAGATCAGATTGGAGGGTAATGAGAAGACATTTATAATATTGAAGATCCAACTGACACTCAGCAGACCTCTGAGGACAAAGCAATAGACCGCAAAGGTACAATCAAATACAGTTCATGGAGTTCTTTGTTACAAACAATGCTAAGTGTAATGGTGCACCACAGCCTGTAGTAGTTAAAGGGTATGTCCACATGAATATGATATTTAATTTAAAGGCAGAGCCTGGTAGGCTCAGTTAGCCCTGGTATTTGTATATGTTTGTTGCAGTCTATAGGATCGGGTGAGAATAACTTTGTTTTTTTACACCCTAGACCAGCGGTCTCAAGCCGGTACCATACGGCTCACAGCCAGCTGACAAGTGGCCCGCGTACCTGACTTGCAGGAGCAGCTACATTGTCTGCATCTCTGTCGGATGCCATCTTATATTGGTAGGAGGGGAGAAGGGCCATCCTATATTGGTGGTGCATGGAGAAGGGCAATCTTATATTGGTTGTTAGTGGAGAAGGGCCGTCTTATATCGGTGGTGCATGGAGAAGGGCCATCTTATATTGGTTGTGAGTGGAGAAGGGCCATCTTATACTGTTGGTCAGTGGAGAAGGGCCATCTTATATTGGTGGTGAGTGGAAAAGGGCCATCTTATATTGGTGGTCAGTGGAGAAGAGCCATCTTATATTGGTGGTGAGTGGAGAAAGGCCCCATTACATTGGCGGTCAGTGTAGGTAGGATTTTGGTCTGCTACAGCTAAAAAGAATCCAAGGCAACGTCTTGGTGGTCATTGTAGGGTTAATTCTGGTCTTCCACGGCTCAAAGAACCCAAGGCAACTTCTTTGGGAAGCCTAGTTAGGAAAGACTGATCTAGAGGATGTGAAGCTAAATGTTTTGAAGGGTTAGGTTTTGTGCATCCTCTGAAATACTAGGAGTCAGAATCTACCTTTGTCTAGTATGTACAAACTAATTTCTCAACATTAGTCTACTGTTCCCATGACTTGCATCACACCTTTCCAAGATGTATTTCATTCCCCCACACCTTATCACACACCTCATTCACATAAGACAAGGGCACATAGAAGACATATCTAAAAATATACACATAATGTAACCAGTCTTATAACAGAATATAACCCGACAATGACTGTAACCAGCCTGTGCCCATATATCCAATGTTATGGTGATCATATGGGCTTTAGGTAATGCTACATTCAGTGGCATGACATTTACCCACCATTCATTATGTCATTAGATATGGGAATTTCAGTCCATTTGGTGACTCACAATACAGAACTAGGAAAATATGCAACACAAAGATCTGCACTCTCTTCTTACCTTGTCGGCCTTCACTTGGCTTGGGTTGAATTTCTTCCACACATTCTGCAGGAAACCATCCAACATGCCCTCTGGCATTTCCTTCCCAGAATCCTCCTTCTCCAATGCTCACAACTGCAGGAAATATATTTTTTAAATAAGATTTTTGTATAATAATGCTTACATTTTTTTTAAAAATCACAGAAAAGACATATAATCCAGGTAATATTCCTGCCATATTTGTAAAGTAGAAGTATAAAAGTTGTGCTGTTCCACAGTTGTAATAATATCACACAATTCATAGCCCTAGTGGGTATTCATATTAATGTGAAGTGAGAATTTATATAATTATTTTCCTTAAAGGAGAACTATGGGGTTAAGGCTTTTCTCCATAGTTCTCCTTAGGGTAACGGGAGGACACAAACTAGCGTCCTCCCGTCACTCTAGGCTCAGTATACCACGAACTGCTCCTCGTGGTATACTAAGACGCCGCAGCTGAAGTGGATCCCGACAATTATGTCTGGATCCGCCCAGCTGCGTGACTGACAGCTGGCTCTGCCTATCTAGAGGCAGAGTCAGCTGTACCCGCCCCCTCCCCGTCTGTTCCGACAGTCAGCGCTGGCGGATCGGAGTGGGGAGGGGGGAATCCAGCCCCTCCCCTGTCACAGCAGAGAGCCATGACAGGATCGAGAGGTGAGCGAACGCCGGTATGTGTTCGCTCACCTCCCGATCTACTGAGCCGACCTGTGACAGTATCATTGTCACAGGTCGGCTAGAACTATGAGGTGAGTGAAAAACACTCACCTCATAGTTCTCCTTTAAGACATTATGCTTTGGTTTTAGCATAGCTGGTTATTATACTGGCATCTTGTGGTCGTTTTGGTTATTGCACCATGTTTTCCTGTATTCCCTTCCCTTGTGTGTAATGTACCTCCCTTCTTCTCTAAGTAGTCGTCGGGTGTCATGGCTGACTGTAATATGGCCACATGCACGTGTCATATGCTTGCTCGGAAACATTACCATCTCTGACCCTAAAATACCATCTGTTCATTCATCTGCTGTATCCTATTGTCTGCTGTAACCTGCTGCATGCAATAAAGCACTTTGTGGAGGATTCAAAGTATTTGTTGAGTTCAGCTATCTGATAAGGATTGCCCGCAGTGATTATATCTGTTTATACAGGCCAGGCATAAAGGTCTCAGCAAGGGATAAATCGCTTATATAGTCTCTATTGGATTCTGGAATGCCAATGAAGCATCACGTCCAATTAAAGCTGCCTTCTTTTGAACAAATACATGCACACGTACAAGCAGACATGCACATGAAAGCTTCAAACTTGAGAGATGTTCGTTCTGGACCCACCACTCTCTTAAAGCGGCCCTGATCACAGTGCTCCTAAAGGGGTGTTATCCGACTTTCACAAAGCCACACACTAGAGTGTTATCTATTCCCAGACGCCAGAGCCGAGATGCTGAACGTGGTAATCATAAGGGCTAATCACATTCGTTATCTGTGCATGCTTAGTAGTTTTTCAATCAGTTCCGCTACAACCTCCAATTCAAACAATGGTTTAATTTCTGAATCTCTTTGCAGCAGGAGGAATGATGAACAATTTCTTTTAAATGCGATTTATCAAATCATGCTGGATTCACGCTGAGGCACATGCAATTAGGTGTTGCAGCTTATATGTATAAACAGTTGCATCACCATGGTGTAGATACTAGCCAGGGCCGGATTTCCCACAAGGCTAACCAAGGCACGGCCTCGGGGCAGCAGGGAGTAAAGGGGCAGCAGGGGTGTGGAACTCCTTTCTCCCGATGCCTGGGACATGCAGTTCCCGGGCGGGTAGTTGTTTTCTACATTTAGCCCTGCTTTGGGCAAGCAGAGCTAAATGTACAGCGGGGAAGCCTCCGCTTGTTTTGTACAAGTGATCTCGGCGATGTCGACGAGATCACTTGTATGCAGGTCTGCCGTTCCCCATGGTGAGGGGGGTGGCGGCCTGGCGGGAAGGTGGGCCCATTGAGGAACCTGGCCTGGAGCAGCAGAGAGAGTAAATCTGGCACTGACTATAGCAAGTCTGTATTTTTTGGAGACCAACCAGAGCCTGTAGAGGCTTGATAGAACTACATGTTTTGGAGTTACACCATCTTTTGAGGTGTCATTTGTAATGCAATAATGGCAGGCATGATGCTATGTCTGTAGAATCCTGGTTCCAAAGTGGAAAACGTGCCAGACATCTAATTTTGGAAAGTTAATAGATATGACATGGCATCTCTTTACATTTTTGCCCAAGCATTTACAGTCATCATGTTTCCAAACAGGTCCAACTCAGCTCTGCTTCCCTGAACTTCCTGTCCAGTCCAAGATCACAAGGGGCAGAGCAGTCTCCAGTAGTGATAGGCCGAACACCCCCCGTCTTCGGTTGAAATTCGAACTTTAGAACATGGAAAAGTTTGAATTCGAACGCGAACTCAATGCAAGTCTAATGGGCTAGAACTTATATGCAAGTTATTGGCCATAAAAAGGGCATGGGGGTCCGGGTACTGCCCTGGGGGACAAGTATCAATGAAAAAAAAAACTTTTTAAAAACACAGTTTTTAAAGGAGCAGTGATTTTAACATCACTTAAAATGAAACAATAAACATGGAAAATTCCTTTAAAGATCGTACCTGGAGGGGTCCTCTTAAACTGCCGGTAAATACCATTTAGGTCTAGTAGGAAAGTTAGGTTCCCCCCAAAAGTCATACCACACCCTTCGAACATTGAGCCCATTCCTAGTCTCTATCAACTGTCCTCCCGCTGGCTTGGGGAAGTGAGTAAACCCTAACTGAATGGCCACTAGTTTCCTAAAACACTGTGCATCATAATTGTTTGCCTTAAAAAAAAAAAAAAATACTTGTCTTAAGCTGTTTATTATCCTTTGTCGGGTCTTAGTGCTACTGATCTCCTGCATTCTATTTGCAGCCACTTCCGGTCTACATGTATTCCAGCAATGGCTGCATGGCATTTCTCAGGGCAGGTTCCCCGATGGTGACAAAAGTGGATCATACCTTTGTATTGTGTGCTGAAACAACTATTTTTAGTCTCTGTTGAAAGCTTGTGTTACAGGTTGACAGTACTGGAGCGCAATTAAGAGACAGGAGCATAGCATTGTCACCCTATAACAAGAAGTGCCTGAAAAAGGAGCATCATGGTAGGATTCGCAGGTATTTCAAGGAAAGGCAGACATTTAAACATTTCAGTGATCAGGTTTACATGCACATAATTATGCTATAATGTACGCTCACATATATGAAAAACCTACATCCAGAAACAGGATTTTCAACATGTTAATACTCATTGATAAAACATTTAGAAACACCTATTCCATGTGTATGCCTAGCAACGTGTTTAATAACATTACTGAAAATATAAATACAGACATCCCAACTCTCCCGGACGTTCTGGGAGTCTCCCGCTCTTAGACAGCGGCTCCCGGCCGCCCGGGAGAAGAACATTTTCTCCCGGAAAGGTTTACTTGATCTAGCAGAGTAAACCTTTCCCCGCTGTCTGTTTTTGTTTTTTAACTCTGATATCGGAGTCGCCGGCCGCCGTCAGAGTGAAAACAAAAACAAAAAGAGACAGCATAGAAATGAATAGCTAGATTGCTATTGGCTATTTGATATTGCAATAGCAGACTAGCTATTGCACCCGCCCACTGCTGCTGTCAAGCAGCAGAGGTGGACCTGAAGTTCTCCATCAGATCCTCTCTCTGCTGATTGACAGCAGCAGAGTGGTCGGGTGCAATAGGCAGCTTGCTATTGGCTATTGCAAATTATTGAAATAGCCAATAGTAATCTAGCTATTCATTCCTATGCTGGTTATTTTTTTTTTCCTTATTCCGACGGCAGCTGTCAGAATACAAAAAAAAAGCAGCAAATAGCACGGAAGCATTAGTTTCTTTGCTATTTGCCATCATTTCAGGGGGGTGCTCTCCCTGAAATGATGGGGGGCAGAGGGCACCTCCCTTAAATGAGAAGGGCACCTCCCTGAAATTACTTTTTTCAGGTTGGCATCCCTGTAAATACAACTTCAGTACAAAACCTTTTTTAAAACTGTAAGACTGCATTACTCCTAAATATATCTGTGAGAGTGAAAACGAACACTAAATACATCTCAGGTCAAAAGGAAAAGAACTTGGGGCTTTAACAGGGATTGCCACACTTGCCTGCTGGTTGGCTGGTGGCTGTGGATTTTTTTCCTAAGCTCCTAAGCAACAGTTTTCAAAAAACCCTCCAGGATGTCTACAAGCAGAAGTCCAATGTGCATTGCCAGACACGTCTACAGGTAGGGAAGCAACAATGCCAGAATAGCCTTTGCTTGGCCTTCTGATATGGGTGACATTTCTGAGATTCCAGCATTTCACAATATGACTGATGGGCTTCTAATCAAACAGTACACTTCATTTCATTAATCAAGGCCTAATCTGCCAAAGCCATCTGCTCAAAAATAACATCGAGCTTCATCTTTTCTCATTTCCTTTCCAAACCGCTCATTACACATGACAGACAGCTCTGTTCTCTATAGCGGGAGCAGCTATATGACAGCCTATAGAGGAACGAGCTGTGCTGGCAAACATAGAAGCCAGTGCGCTTGTGGATGAACAGGGTTCTCAGTGCCTGTCTGTACAAATGATACAGTACATAACTGTATTATTTGCTTAGTAGGCTGTCAAAGCAACCCTGTCGGGTTACAAAAAAAATTAAGATCAGAGCAAGAGCTTTTATACTTACCTCTCCAGTGGTCCATTTCTCTACCTTCCTCCTATTCTAGTACTTCAGTGTCTGTATGACTTTCCAGCACTCTGCACTTCTGGGAGTGTTGGGTGTCTGCGTCACCCTGCCGTGGTTCCATCCTCCATTCCCTATGTCATTGCTGTGTCCTGTAGTGACATAATTGTTGGAGAAAGGAAACATGGCACATGGTGGGGGAGTCAGGCATTCAACACTCCTCGAAGTGTCAAACAATCTTACAGAAGCTGAAGCAATGGCACGGAGAGAAGGTAGGAGTCATAGGCTGCCAGAGGGTTGAGAATAAAAGCTTTTTTATTGCAGGGAGGCTTTAAAAGGAGAACTATGAGGTGAGTGCTTTTCACTCACCTCATAGTTCTAGCCCACCTGTGACAATGAGACTGTCACCGGTTGGCTTAGCAGATCGGGAAGTGAGCGAACACATACCAGCGCTCGCTCACTTATCGATCCTGTCACGGCTCTCTGCCGTGACAGGGGAGGGGCTGGATTCCCCCCTCCCACTCCGATCCGCCAGCGCTGACTGGCGGAATGGACGGGGGAGGGGGCGGGCACAGCTGGCTCTGCCTCTAGGTAGGCAGAGCCAGCTGTCAGTCATGCAGCTGGGCGGATCCAGACATAATTGTCGGGATCTGCTTCCGCGTCTGAACTGTAGCTCGCGGTATACTGAGCCTAGGGTGACGGGAGGACGCTAGTTTGTGTCCTCCCGTTACCCTAAGGAGAACTATGGGGGAAAACCTTAAACCCATAGTTCTCCTTTAAGCTTGATTTTTTGGAAGCTGACTAGAGGGAATATAACCCTTTTTTAACCCCTTATTGCAGTTAATTGTCCCTAAATAACTCCATTCTCTTGCTGATTTTATTAAAGCAAAACTCCGACAAATCACGTCTTAACACTTGCAGTGGTGCTTAGCCCCCCTCATCCCTTACTGCAAGGGTTAAGTGCTAGTTTGATCTAGGGAGCTAAAATAACTAAGTTATACTCACCCTATCAACGATCCCAACTGACTCCTACACCGCTCCCTCCAGCCTAACTCCGCCTCTGTTCCAGCGATTGATATGCCACACGGCATACTCAAGTTCTATACAGTGTATATGATGTGATGACTTACTGGATCTTAGGCTGCTGGAGCAGAGGAGGAGAGAGGCTGAAAAGACCAGTCTATGAGCAAGTGGGCTTGGAGGATCGGGAGAGTATAACTTTGTTATTTTAGCTCATTACACAAAACAAGCACTTAACCCTTGCAGAGCTAAACAGCATGAATGGGAGAATTCCCGGCCGGGCTATTGTTTTTTTGACAGGGGGGTGTGTGGCATTGTTAGAAGACCTGAACAGTGACTGCTCTGTATGGCTGAGAGTTTTCTGACCGGCTCCTTCAACGAAAAAGACTGGAAAATAGACTTTTGTCAATCGGGGGGAAGGGGTGCATTTCATGAGGCGGGTCACACACTGCACAATTTTGTCAGTAGGATTTGGCCAAAATTCAAAGCAGTGTATGGCTAGCTTTACTCTTTTCAACACAAAACTAAAATCAAAAGTTTTATGACTTTCATTTCTTTTATCTAGATATAAACTGTACCTTTAGCCAGCCTATGAATGGCGACTGGGGCCATATATTGAGTGGTCTTTGCATCATTATTACAAACTCTGACATTCTGTTGCCGAGTCACAGTACTAAGATGTGTCTGGTGGCAACATACCTCTTATCCGGTCCCCCTTGTAAAGGGGAATCTCGCCTTCTACTTGAGGTTGATACGGTTTCACCACAACAAAATGCCTCCCAGGAAGAGCACTGTACAGCTTTCGCTTTGGTCCCTGATAATCCCCAGCAGAGACCGCTTCCTTGTTGGCACCAGGACTGAAAAATAACAAAGAGATAGGATAAAATAAATAAAACATTTATCACATAACTGCAAGTGTATTGCGGATAGTGTATCTGTTTGAAATCTATCTTTATAGTACAGCGGTACCTCGGTTCACGAACTTAATTTGTTCCACGATTCTGGTCGCGAACCGTATTGGTCACAAACCGAATCATACTGTGATCAGACCGCGATCTCAACTAGAGGAAGCCACGACCACGTGTCAGAGCGGGGAAGATGGCTGCGGTCGTGTTCGTCACCCGATGTGGAGTTCGCGAACGGAAACAACATTTTCCCAAACTTTCTGTTCGCGAACCGAATTGTTTGCGAACAGAAGCTTTCGTGAACTGAGTTATTACTGTATTGTGCCACAGTTCTAGCTACTGGAAGAAACAAAAACAAAGAGCGCCTCCATCGCGTAAAAACGTTTTAATGAGACAGATTTAAACAGATAAAAACATACTCACAAAAGTGGAATTTTTACAGGCATGAATAGGTAAAATCGTGAAAAGCTTAGCCCACCTGCTACTCTTCCTCCCTGAGGTTAACGTTTCTGAGGCCACGCCTCCTTCGTCAGAACCAATGATTCTTTTGGTTCTGACAAAGGAGGCGTGGCCTCAGAAACGTTAACCTCAGGGAGAGTTGAGGCTTCCAGAGTTGAGGCTTTCCCAAAGCCTGTCTGAGAGCCTGCCCCATCTGCGGTTCACTTTGAGACCATTTCAGATATTCTCTGTGTTTGAATACAAGCCGCTGGCGCTTTGTTATATACTGTCTGACAGTTCTAGCTACTGTACGAAAGAAATCAGACAAAATGGAAGCTCATTCAATGTGAGACACTCCAGATGTTGTGCACTGCACAATGCTGGCAATCTAACACATTTTGTGGCAATGGGTGCTGGAGGATGAGATGTTCAGTCAGCTTAGGGGAGAGGAGCATCAGAGGAAGAACTTCAATAAGACGGTGATGCAATTTCATAATATAAACATTAGCTTGGTGACACAACAAAGCTATATGAAGCTAAAGCTGCATCAGGAAATAGTGGGGTACTCTGTTTAAATAATATTGAGACAGGGGCAGTGGCGACTCTAGGAACAATATATAGGGGGGGGCACATAAGATACAACAGTCAAATCAGGGGGGGCACTAATAATTTTCATTGCATGTCGCAACCGCAGGGCGCCAAGAGCTGATTTAATAGCGGATGGCATCTGCGCCCTTCGGTTCCGACATGTAGTCAAACGCCGCCCACAATCCTGAATACCGCAAACGTTTATTTTTTAAAAACTTTTTTTGTATTTTTTTTATTAAACTTATTTTTTACATTTTTACCTTTTATTTATTTAACTTTATTTTTTTTTATTTGTTTCACTTTTTTAATTTTTTTAAATTTATTTCACTTTATTTTTTTTTAGATATGTTTTACTTTTGGGGGCAAAAATAATCTTGCACCAGGGCCCTTTGTTCCCTAGGTCTGCCACTGCCTTCATGTAGGTATTTATTCCAATTGCATTTTAAAAATACATTTATTAACCAATGAATGGAGAGCTGCATTATTTGTGTCTTTTATATTTGCCTGGAGTTCATTTGTAAAGATGAGAGAGAAGATAGAGAGGAGAGAGAAAGCGAGAGACGAGAGAGCTAGAGAGAGGAGAGAGATCAACACAACATTTTCCTCCATAACACTTAACATAAAAAGTCCTGGTCAATAACAACTAAAGCTTATACATCTGAATTTGACCTCAACATGGAGGTTGAGAACCACTGTAAGTGGTTCCCAGGCTTGTAGATCACTGCTTGGCCCCATGGAGTCAGTGCTTTCTTGGTGTGAAAAGGACACCCCAGAAGGAGGAGGCATTTTTTAAATGATTCAGTGTGCTGCGCTTTAACAGATTGCCTGGAGAAATACTCAGAAATCTCAGTTCCCGGAGGAGAGAGGCAGAGTGCAATTTCTGCTCTACAATGAGCTAATCTGCATATCTCCAGCAGTTTATTTCCCAGATATCCCTGGGCTTGCCTCTCCCTGTAGGATTTAGATGGCTGTGTCCTGTTTCTCAATATTTATTCTCCAATTTACTAGGACATATGAAGAAAACTTGACTATATTAGAAAGTGTCCGAATGCCTAGAGAGCATAATGCGTGTCTGGTAATATAAGGAAACCAATGAAGAGGGTTAATGTCAGAGATTTATGTAATGAATCTAATGGTAATAAATCTGCTTGCCATTATTACTATTACATAACTGCAATGTACTGCCAGTCAGAAGCTTGTTAGAGAACTACGTTGGGTTTACACGTGGATCCACTCTCAGAGCAGGTAGGCAATAGAGATCTGTTTATAGGTGAAAACTGGGAGAATGTGAATTTTGTGTATAAATGGTCAGCTTAAAAACAAGGTGACCATGAAAATAAATAAAACATTTTACTGCATCGCCTGCAGACCAGGAGCAACCACTGTGCAGTCCAGGACTCTGGTTTACACTTTATGCCTAAACATCTGTGGACTAATGACCACTGCACCTGCTATATAGCCAGAAATATGGCCCAAGTATTGAGTGTAGGGGCTTCCAGGAAAGGGTACTGTTGATGCAACAGTGTGCAAAAACGTTTAGACAATTGTGTGCTATCAACTTTTTAGTTTAGAGATGGAAGTTCGCACAAAGCCAAATCCATAAAGATATAGTTATTCATGTTTGGGGTGTAGAAATTCAAGTGGCCTGTACAAAGCTCTAACTTCAACCATACTGATCACCTTTGAGATGAATTGGAATGCCAATTGCCAGCCGGGTTTTCTCATCCAACATCATTATCTGACTTCACATACTTTTTTTGGCTGAATGGGCACAATTTCCAACAGACAAACGCCAAAATTTTGTGCAAAGTGTTCCCAAGAGAGTGAAGGCTGTTATAGCCTCCCTGAGCAAAAACTGTGGCAATTAAATTCCAGACACATGGGCTGAATGAATGTGGGGATTGTATTGTCTTTAGTCAGACCTGACAGGTAGACTGGTAGGTTGCATTTATACTTGTGCACACTTGTTGTTAACATGTGTAGTGCAGTGTAGCCTTTTTTTTTTTTTCAATCGCACCCCAACATGCATACACAGCCAAAACAAACACCTGCCCCTCAGAGTAGGAACATTTTTGGACCTGATCCCAGCCACTTCAGGTATTTGACACTTCCGAGAGTGTAAATACCTACCTACCTGCCACATGCTGTGGTTTCTCCTGCTGGTTTGTACATCACTACAGGAAGTATGAGCTAGTGGTATGAAACACAGAATGTGGTAGTGGCAGATATCTGACACAGCCAGAAGAATCGAATACCTGCAGCGAATCAATTTAAAAACAATCTAACCAACATGCATTTGGTTCACGCTGCTCAGTGTACATATGTTTTTCTGCACTGGGGTCCTATTTTCAGTTTGCATCATGGATTTTTTTCTCTACGGACTTTGTATGCTCTCCGCTTGTTTGTGTGGATTGTGTCCCAGTGCTTCCGGTAAATCCAAAACCTGTTGATATGCAGGCTATGACTCCAGTGTGATACCTCAGTATGACTGTGGACAGTATTCCTGAGTACCATCAAAACACTGACTAAAGGGAATGGTGAACACTGTCCATAAAGGACTGCATCCTAGACTGCCACTATTTAAAACACAAGAAATATAATACAAATTCAAGACTGGGATTAATTTTGGGAGACTGGAAAATACCACCTAAATGTCTAAGCCTTAACACCTCGCTTATATATCAGCCTTTTTGTAAGTTACAACTGATACACGCAACCAACTACATCCTTAGTGGACAGAAGCTGCCAGTTGAGCAGATCATCATGGCAGACAGTCCGGCAACAGCTGCTAAGGCTCACCCTGAATTATCCTTGTTTGTATATCTTTTGCATATCTAAACCTTGATCCTCCAATACAGTGGTTAAACCTCATTTGTCCAATAACGGCCTCTAATTGAGACAACGCTATCTACCACCTATTCTCCCTGTGGCTGAATGAATACATGAACAGGACGCGGTTTGACTGGCCGGCAGTTGCCGCGCATTATGGATGCACGGCAGAGGATTGCCATCCTTGGAAGACCACATCCCAGGGAATGCTCAGTTTGGCATTTCATTTTTTGATGTCTGTTCTGTTGCTGTATAAATGTTTCAGCTCTTACTAAAGGGCTAAAGACAGAATACATTAACATATAAATATCACAGACCTGCCTTAGCTAAGAAAATTAACGGAGCCAAAAATAGAGGCACAGATTTCAATCTCCCTGTGTGTTTTCGCTGATTCCTCCAGCAGTAACACAGAGCGAAGGTGACAATAGGGAGAGACACGTGCTTTTATCAAAAGGCCTGTGATATCCATTATAGAAATTTTCAGGAAAGGTTTAACGTACAGCTGTAGTCTTGACGGAAATGACAAGCCATATAGTAAAGGGATAGGAAAGGTCAGCACTGCTTTTGTTTTCAGTTATGAAGGTTCATGGCTATTTTATAAAGGTGATGTTAAGGGGCACTACAGTCAAAATTGCAAGTTTAAAGAATCCTGTGCAGACTGAAAGTCTGCCTTTACTACCTTCTGCTTCTGAAGATGTGAGGTACCTGGCTGCCATGCTGATTCGATGTCTTCAATCCTTACTCAATCAATGACCGAATCAAGCATGCAGATAAAGAGGTCTGTCATAGTTTACTGCATGCTTGGTCCGGTTCAGTGGCTCAGAATGTGTTGAAAGAAAGGACACCATTGTAATCCTTCTACAATCTATATGTGTAATGATAAAGTGATGTGCTGTAAATCTCAGGAATTGATACACAGGAATACAAATACTTTGGCTGGTAAAATGGCTCCCATACATGCATTCATTGGTGTAGTTAGCAGTCTGCCTGGATTTTAGCTTTAAATCTCCTTCTCTTCCAATTTTACTCGCTAGGTTCTACCAATTTTGCATATAGACTCTCTTTGGAAATTAGGTTGTGGAAGAGTGTGACTTAACATTGATGAATCAATTATTCTAATATTCTAAATTTGAGTCATAAAAGTACTGAAACCAGCAAAGGCAGCCCCGTGTTTTGGTCTCAGTGCAAGTTTACTTTAAAATTCAAGAAGTAAATGCAGACACTTTGCCTGCTTGTCGTATGTTGGAATCTTACATAGTGCTGAGGACTCTGTCCTTGTCCCAAAGTTAAATAGTTAGTAACTATTTGACAAGGACAGAGTCCTCAGCCCTATGTAAGATCCCAACATACTACAAGCAGGCAAAGTGTCTGTATTTACTTTTTGAATTTTAAAGGAAACCTGTAATGAGA